TTATTTGTCAGTTTCTACAAATATCTGATTCTATTACAAAACAGATGCCTAGATGGAATGTGTGTCACAATGAATCAAAAGATAGTCTTTGTGATAAATCCAATATAATTAACAGACAACACCATGATATTCATAGGCTAATATCCATTAGCAATAAAATTAATTATCTTGATCCTCAAATAAGTCATATCGATATGACATTTTACATACTAAAAGTTGCTCATAATTTAGAAGTTAAACTATATTTATTACTTTTTTTATTCGGTCGCCGACGACATAGATATGCATCAATGTTTCGAGCACCTCTTATACATACTACACAATATTATTTAAATGTGTCTGAATTTGTTAATGAACTCCAAGATATTCAATTATCATTTCAACTCAACGGATTCATAGACTGGCCTCCGATTGCGATTTTTTAAAAATATAGGAATTCTTAGAGGATCAAGTTTGTCTAAAATATAGGATTTTCGATAAAAAATGACAAAAATATAGGATTTTTTATAGATCATTTCTATTCAATTGTTTTTGTGTTTTTTTAACTTCTCTGCTCGAAAATCGTTTTAATGAAGCTGTTATAAACTGCTCAACCATAACCAAGATTCTTATGTAATTTCTTTCTACTGAAATAGGTCGCTAATTCGAGGATCATTACAAAGTTTAATTATAAAAATTTTTCACAAATCAATAAATAACCATAAAGTAGATCATAAACTTTGAAAAAATAAATACATGAAAAAAACAAATACTATTTCTCATAATTAAATTTGACTTATAAAAATAAAACTTTATTATAAATAGACAAAACATTGGAATAATAATCATTAAGTATTATCTATCAAGTTTATTATATTATGTTGATTTCGTTGGATGGATTTCAGCTTCTTGTTGATTAATTGTTCATGAAGAAAAGCATCTTTTCTTTTTAATCGAAGTTTATCGAGCTCATTTGTAAGTTGTTGCTGTTGTTCATTAGCTGATGTTAATTTTTCACGACCTTCAACAATCAAAAGTTTAGCTGCATGTACTGGCCTCCGATTACAAATTTTCGAAATTATAGAAATTCCTATATAGGATTTTGTTTTCTGAATTATACGATTATTTTCAGAAAAAAAAGTAAAAGATTGACCAAAATTTAGGTATTGTACGTCGAACCGCACCTCAAATGTATGAACTTTACTTGCAAGAAGCAGCTATTCATATTACCTGATTTTTTCGTAAAAAGTGATGACCGGGGGGGGGTTGCGAGTAGTGCCGCGAAGATCCCCGTACTCCTCCTGAGGGCAGTCAAATCTCGTAAAAGTTTTTCACTTTTTTTTGACAAAATATAGGAAAAATAGGAAAATCAATCGAGATATAGGACAAAATATAGGATTTTCTAAAAAAATAGGAATTATAGGACGAATCGAAGCCCAGTTCATACAGGATTTTATCATAGACAAAGTCCAACTGTTTCTTGAAGAATTTGATACAATACGATTAAAACTTCAACATAGTGAGATATTTTATGATCAAAAGCTCTATGATCAACTTCGTCAAAAAGTCTCTAAACATCACCAAGAACAAAACATAGCAAAACTTAAATCATACCAACAGGCTCTGAAGTATCAATGACATGGTTCATTTAATTGTCATCATATCAAATGTAAAATTTTCATTTATCTTGTTGATTAAAGACAAAATTGATCTAAAACCAAAAATCGTTCACTATTTCCTTTTAATTTTTATCCTATAGTGGGAATTTTACTTTTACTTCATCCATTTCATTGTATTCATTCAACATATTTAACCTTATCTATTGCTCAAAATAGTTTTAGTCCTCTTCTATTTTTCATTCAGATACAACAGTTTGTCGTGGAACAGTCTATGTCTACTCACCCACTCTCACCCTCGCACCCCACCCTCATTCGCAAAATAGATAGATACTTTTCAACTATATTTGACGGGAAAAAATGAAACAGTCGTCTTTTCCGATCACGTTCATTTTGATTAACAAATTCAAAGAAATTTTCAAAGCGAATAATCGCGGATTTACGCATCTATGACCATTCGAGAGTAGACATCTGCAAAATCAGTTTTTTTGGTCCCGGTCCCGTCCCGGTGAAAAATGTTTTAGTCCCGGTCCCGGTCCCGGTCAAAATTTTTCTTCAGGCCCGGTCCCGGCCCAAATTTTTTTTGGTCCCGGTCTGGACTCGATGCCAGTTAAAAATTGTATTATGGTGAAAAAATTCCGATTCTTGAAACTGAAACGAGGATCGATGAATATTTTTATCAGAATTGTAAAGAAAATTGCTGTTTTCTTAGATTTCTGATCACAAAAATATAAGAAATACCTTAACACAGAATCGAGTTTCTGATAAAAAATAATACCGGGACCAGCTTGAAAATTTTGGTCCCGGTCCCGGTTCCGCCGGGACCGGGACTACTTTGCAGATGCCTATTCGAGAGACAAAAAATGTGTATTGGATATTATAACAACTTTTTTATTTATACATTCATAACAAATGAAAGCTGAAAGTTTGAAATCGTCTCATTGATTTATCAAATACAAGAAATGCAGAATGAATTGTATTAGAATAATCATTATCGGTATTTTTGAGCTTTTGGACCGAATCTATGCTTGAATTTGTCAATGTTTGGCCGTTTAGATAAAGTATTGAATAGCCCTGATCGAGCTGCTCGTGCTTCCGCCTTCTTTCGCTCCAAATTGATTGAGGGTGGATTAGATACAGATTCAACGAGATCTCTACACATAAATGATGACTGTTCTTCGTGATTCCACAAATCTCTGAGGCACATAATGTCAATCGTCCTAATAAGGGAGATGTCTCTGAATGTACGCTGCCAATAATGTAATCTTGGCGAACATACTATTTTGATGAGTCTATCATGACAAGCGATACCATTTACTTGGATTGACTTATAAATCCCTCTCCACGCAAAAGCATTTTGAAAGTTATTAGGAAGAGATTAATTTGTATTATTTATGATTGTGTCAAAATCATTACTGCTTTCTTTAAGGGTTTGTTGTGCCGTGTATAGTTGATGTTGTTGATTGTGAGTGAAAAATGGAAAACAATACTTGCTTACTATTGTTAATGTATGATGACGGAATCGTAGATCAAAAATGTTAGGATGTGAGAGAATGATTTTCACCAGAGAGAAAATGGTTTGCACAATTTTAAAATCATTTAAATCATAGTTATTATTGGCGAGAGCTATGATGAATTCTGCAGCAGTGTTTCTGGCTTCGATTGGAGTTGCCCAATGGTATTCAATGTTTTTAATGCCACTTTCAATATCTGTTGGATATGAACGAACTAAATGTACATTTTTCAAAAGAGGTTCAGGTAACGAATTCATGCATAGATAATCATATTGTCGTAGCATTCCCAAGACGTTTGCATTTTGTGATAGTTGAGAAAGTAGAGAAGATAGCTGTTTGCTAGTGATTGAATGATAGATGGATACAAACCACGAATAATGAATTCTAGAATTGAGTACATATTCGTCATTTTTGTTTTGAATGGATGAAAAATTATCGTTTTGTCCGACCAAAGCTATCAGATAAGGAATTTGTTCGAGTTCTTATTGAGTTAGTTCCAGAATTTTATTCGATTTACCAAAACAAAATTTATATGTGAATTCTTTAGTTGTTTCGACCATCAATTCCATCGAAGTTTCCATCAAATGATTCATAATGCCGTCACTATTCACTGGTATAGCTGCCAGTAGGGAAGAAAAAAGCAAGTTTATATATATATATATGTTGTGGTCAAAATTCAAATTCAGTCAAATTTTAAATTTGCCTAGACAAAATTAAAATGCTGTTATAGTCAATATAGGAAAATAAAATGTTTGTACCTCGACGGTGTGGGTGTGGGTGTAGGTGTGGATGGATGTGGGTGTGGGTGGGGTGTGGGGTGTGAGTGTGGGTGTGGGTGTGGGGTGTGGGTGTGGGTGTGAGTGTGGGTGTGGGTGTGAGCGTGGTTCAGCTGAAGACTTACATCGACACCCACACCCACATCTACATCCACACTCACACCCACACCCACACCTACATCCACACCCACACACCCACACCCCATACTATGGGTTATTTAATTTCAATCTGAATTTAAACAGAAAAAAGAGCACTTGATTTCAAATTGAATTAAGGGACTAAGGGAACTAAGGGGACTAAGGGGACTAAGAGGACTAAGGGGACTAAAGGGACTAAGGGGACTAAGGGACTAAAGGGACTAAGCGGACTATTCAGTGGGGAAGCGTGTTTCCCCACCTAACACACCTTTTATTTCAGCGTCGCGGCGTGGGGGCGCGAAGCGCCCCCCCCCCCCCCCCCCCGAAGAGCCGCGACCCATGCACGTCTCTGTGTACACCATTATTCCTACCCTTAGTCCGCTTAGTTAGTCCCCTTAATCCCCTTAGTCCCTTTAGTCCCTTAGTCTCCTTAGTCCCCTTAGTCCCCTTAGTCCCTCTGTCTTGGTAAAAATGGGGTGTTGTTTTTTATTCAAAATTCAATTTGAAATAAAAAACCCATAGACTCACCCACACCACACACCCACACCCCTGTGTAACGAAAACGTGTCCATGCAAAAAAGAAAATGTCTTTTGCTCTACCAAGTGTCATTCAAAGAGGGGTGGCTGCTCAAATATGGACAGGGCTGTCGCGAAGGGTTAAAGATTGGGGGGGGGGGTTGAAAAATTTTTCGAGTATTTGTCAAAAAATTCTATAAATTATCGGCATTTTGAAAAAAAATTTGGAAATTTTTTGAAAATTTTTTGTGAGTTTTTGAAAGTTTTTCGAAGATTTTTGAAGAATTTTTGAAAATTTTTCGAAAATTCTTCTGAAATTTTTGAGAATTTAATAAGAATTTTTTAAAACCATCAAGCAAAAAAAACAAAATTTCCGAAGGCTGGGGGGTGTGACTCCCCCGTCCCCCCGGTCGCGACAGCCCTGAATATGGATTAAATTATTCTAGAACTCACATAATATTTGTTGGAAACTATTGTTAAATAAAAATTTCTTGATATTACAATTGTATGTCTTTCTTCGTCTTCTTTTACTGACTATAACAGCATTTTAATTTTGTCTAGGCAAATTTAAAATTTGACTGAATTTGAATTTTGACCACAACATATATATATGTGTTTGTTGTCAAACAGTTGAGTCATTGCTCATGACGGCTTTCTTTTTCTATCTGACGGTTATTACCTTTGAGAACTTTATGAATCAGAGGATTAAAGTTGGAAATAATGCATCAATAGTTATTGTGTAATGGTGAGTATGCAATAGATGAATTCATATGTTGCTTGTTTATTTTAATATTAGATTTAAAAAAAAACTTAAACTGCAGATGACATCTGTCATCATTTGGAGTTGTCTTACAGTTTATCATGACATTTCAAACAACATTCATTTCAATTTAAGCGCATTTTTAACATCTCTCGCTTTTTGTTGTTATACATTATGAATTAGCCTTATAAAGCATAAAGTTCTCATACAGAATATTTTATACTCAGTTCAACTTGGAGCTTTTAGATTTTTAAGTAGATTTTATGTGCGAGTTTTAGTAGTGTTCGAATCTGCCAGCATTCAAATTAGTTTTCTAATATTAATAAATACCAGATATGACATTCATTAACATTTTTTGAACTGATGAAGAAATTTTTCAAATACCAGAAAACAACTGAACTAAAGTGGTGATATCCATCATAGTAGGTATTTATGATAAGATCCAACATGGTTTTATAATACACCCTATCATGATAGTCGATTGTTCAAATATCTAAACTTTAGAGTATTATTTCCAAGTATTGACGCAAGTCTATGTATAAAGCGCACGAGTACTCTGGGATTTTTTTCTTTCTTACTCGGAACAAAATACAGCATCATTGTTTTTCACCTTCCATCACCTTCTCCTTATCTCATTCTTTTTCATTTGTCACTCCCGTATATTTTATAACAAGCTCTTATCTACTGATGATATCCTCTGAAATGTGTGTGATCGAAGCTCGTAGAAGGGTGTGAGTGACTAAATGAAAGAAACATCAACATCCTTTTTGGGCTTCTGAAACCCGTTGAATGTCTTTTCAATTCCTCAAAACCACTGTGGTTTTCTGAAAAGCCTCTTTGGTTATAAATTATGAAAATGTATCAGACACAATAAAAAAGCCACTCTAAATACTTTGTATGCTTGGACATTGAAGAACCATGCGATAGAGTAAAGTTGATATTATTTTTGAAAACAAAAATCTTTTTCAAATCTTCTCTTTAGCATCCCCAATGTTGAAATGTGTTATAAGATATTCAAAACGTTACGTGTTATCCTATACTATCAAAATGTGAGGAGTACAAGTCAAAAATATTATTTAAAAATATTGTTAAAAAATTATTCAAAATAAAGATATCATCAAATGTATACGCTAGAATATTGTTTTTCCAGAGCCAGCTATGATTTTGAATCGATAGACAAATATTTAATTGAAGACTGAATTTCTCTTCTAATTCCATCACTCGTTGTAACTCAAATTACCACGGATACAGCAACACTTCTGGATCAAAATTTCTTTTTGATATGACACCGCAACAGTATCTCATAGAGGCTTCATTGATTTCTTCCGTTAGAAAACATTGAAGTATCTCGTGCATAAATACATGAAACAGTTTAATTGGAAATATTTCTTAAAGTCTATAAAAAATTTATAGTTAACAAGAGGGTGTGGGTGGGCATGAAGAAAAGACCCACACCAACACTCACACATCCACACCCCACGCTCACACCCAAAATGAAGCAAGAATTTTTGGTACTCTACATGAAGTAATTTACAAGAACCTTTTGGACGAAAAAATTACTAAAAACCATCTCCAGTTAAATACCGTCCTGCACACAATAGTAAAGTAGACGATCATGATTCGTCCCGTCGCTAAAAGCCGAAGCAAACAACTTCTGGGGAAGGGGCTCAGTGTAGGTATGGGTGGGTATGGTTGTGTGGTGTGGGTGTGGGCGTGGGTGTGTGGGTGGCTGTTCTTCTCGTTCACACGCACATGCACACCCACACCCAGACCCTCCACACATACACCTACACCCACACCCCACACCCATATGTACACCCACACCCAACCTCAAATCCAAACCCACACCCACCCAAATATAATCCACAATATCAGTTTTTTCAATTGCGTTAATAAATACGTACACATCGACTATACGACATCTGTATAGTTTTTGTGTATAAACACAAAAATTAGGATTTTATGATTATACACAAAAACTATAAAGATGTCATAGTCGATATGTACATATTTATTTATGCTGTTTGACTGATATTGCAGATTTTATTTCGTCAATATGATCTACAAATCCTAACAGTTTCATGCAGTTTGGAAATGTATATTTTGTAGCCGAAGTCCCATAGAATACCGCATGTAATGACCATATAGGGTATGGACAAGTTAATGGACACTTTGATTACCCGATATTCACTCCTAAACGAGCCATTAGCACAAATCATTATTAGACCAGTTAATAACCCAATGAGCTCGATAAATTGGTATCATTAAAATTTTAAAAGTGACTTAATAGTTCGTTGCCTTTCCTCATAAGTAGAATATTCGTTACGAATTTGAAAGGAAAATAAAATGAAATGTCATAGCAGGAAAATTAAAAACATGCTTGAGAAGGCACAAAGTAGCCAGTATTCAAATTAGAAATAGTTATGTGAATCTATTTCAGTGTTGCTTCAATTAAAAGACAGTGAAGAATAGGAAGAGGTCATGGTCATTTTGAATGTTATGCTTTCAGCATGTTCGACAAGATAAAGTGGAACATGAGGAAGCTTTGTAAAAAAATTTAAACGAAAATCATACGATGCTCTGATGCGAGATGTACATAAAAAAATTTGAAAGGTTTGCTCCTAGCATAGATAAAGCGAATGGCATATTAACAGTCAATCGTACTTGAAATCAACGAGCAATTAGTATTGACATTGTATCAGTTAAAGAAATACTCAATATTGACTTTTCAGATGGGATATTTGAAAAAAAAACAACTGTATAATGCTTAGGATAAAGTTAAATTTAATGTACGAATTGATGCTGATAAAGAGTATTTTGATCGAAGAATAGTTTGATATAAAGCTATTTTTTACTAGCTTAAGGAAAATATTTAGTTTTCAATATTTCTATCGAATGGAAAATAAGACACAGAAATGAGAGAAAGTCTATTTTGAAAGAACTAAAAACGAAATTTGACTTAGTTTTTGATTGAGAGACTAATATAAAGACTTACTAATCCTTTTAAACTTTTCTGTGAAGGTTTTTGTAGTTTCATCTGGTTCGACATATACCGATGTAGAAGTATCAAGAGCTTGCTGTTCAACTATTGATTCATCATAATATGATTTAGAGTATTGTTTAGACTGAAATGAGTGTCTATCTGACTTCAGATATTACATCAAGATTGTATATTGTATTTATATCAAAGCTTCTCACTTTATTTATTTAGAAAGTATATCATTGAGGATGTGTGTGGGTGAAGGCGTAAAGATGGCCGACATCCACACTACTCTCCAAATAGTACATGTTATAGAGCCACGATAGTGAATTGAATGTGGTGGAATCGGCAGAAGCTAGTGGTATATCAATCGGATTCGATAAATAGGACCATTGTTAGCAGAAGATAGTTCTTTCCGATCTGAGCTAAAAGGGTTATGCCGTAATCTTGCAGCATTATTAGAGCCACATGCAATCGTACAGCTAAAGCCGTGTGGCGTCACATGAACACGTACAGATGGTGCCGCTTCCCCATAGTTAGATCGCGATCCATCATGATAGATAGATACCTCCACACCATAGTAGTCAGAGCCCGATGTGCCATTGATGGTAGATCCTGTTTCGCTACTATAGTCATACATTGCTGTTGTTGCTTTCGATTTCGAGCTTGACTTTGATTCTGCTGCCAAAACTGTTCTATGAGTACTAAGTAGAACCTCTTCTGAAGAACGAATTGTTTTCTTTACTCTCGATTTGCTAGGAGGCAACACTTCAACTGTAGGAGTCGATGTGTATAAATGTGCAGATCTGCTGTCTGATTTTGAACTCAATATACTTTCAGATTGTGAAGGAATATTTGAATGAGAGTGAGAGTTCGATGTTGATCTTCTCAAAATAACAACCTTTGGCTGCCATATCTCTCCTTCATAAACGATCCACTTGCATACACATGTAATAAAATTGCGTGCATAGATCTGTTGAATCCATTTTTCAGGTAACTTGTTGTAACCGTAGTAAGTGCCAGCCAATTGGCCATAAATAGCAGCAGTTGTGTCAGTATCGTCTCCAAGATTGACTGCGTCTAGAACACCCTTTTCAAATGAATTTTCATCGTAATGAAAGGCCCATAAGGCAGCTTCGAGAGCGCTAACAATATATCCTTTGCCACGAATACCATCACGATATCCGCCAGCTTTCTTGTATGATCCTCGTGCAACATCCATGACCTCTTGAGTAAGAGGTTTGTTGTTGAACCATGATTCATGGTTTAAATAAAAATTGTCATCCAACAATTCCGCTTTTGTTTCACCTCGTAGAGTAGCCACTATCAAAGCGCCATAATAGCGACAAGCATCATAAGCTTTCGCATCACCATGAGTAATGACAGCACTAATTCCAGAAAGCTCGACGGCGTCAATTGGATGTCGGTAGAAGAAGAGAGGTACGGGAGCCAGCCGCATAAGTGCTCCGTTACCAGCTACACCAATTTCACTGCATTTTACATCGAATTCCATAAGAAGATCCGGGTCTGAAAGATAATCTAATTGATCAAGGGAAATTTGATATTTAGTAGCAAATAATTGTTGACGACGTTCAAATTCCCGTAACGATTGACTGGTAGCACTACCGATATCGAAGCATTGTCCAGTCGAAGACATGTAACCATGTCTAAACCACCATTTGTAGCGAACGAGCTGGTCATAAGGAACAAAGTCGCGACGAGATATCAAGGAACTCGCCAGGCAAAGACCCATGGAAGTATCATCTGTGAACTAAATAAACGACACTTCTTAGGAATAGCATAATCATCAATATCTAATCCATGTTTAAGGTGCGTATTTTGAGAAAAAACTCAATGGTAGAGTCGATTGCAACTATTCATTTTTGTTAAACACGATCTAAAAGGAGTATTGAGCTACGTAGGGTAGTAATTTTCACGGCTTTCTCATAGGTCTAGATAGACGTCCTTCAGAGATCATCACAGGCTGTGACAAGCACTCTCTAAAGACTATCACTAACTTAAAATCGCTGATATGTTATTAGAATACATGGACTGCATTCTTATTATAGTTCTAGAAGACTAAATAAATGACGGCAGTCAAATATATGCCAAAATAGATTGAATAAAAGAAGTTACAGTTTCTCAGAAGTTCTCAACATTTCAGAAGCTTTCTCTGCCGAATATGATTATTTTTCCAATTGTGAGAGATTTTATGGAAAAAAAAAACTCCATCCTAAATTTGTACGCGAAGATATTATCACTTCGATAGCATTCCAAGTTGATGAAAAAAAAACTAACATGTTCTAAGTGATATAGTGCGTATACCATATTGCACTTTTCTCCTTTAGAATTTCGATTTAAACCCAAATAAGAACGATGACAACTATGGTTCTTACCAATCGTTCTTTCAAAGTAGTTCGAAAACTTGTTCAGAAAATCAATGAAACTTAGTAAAGAATGAATGGAACATCTTTTATATAGAGGAGAGACTTTACTTGTCCTTTTTTGAGACCCCAAGTCCCACCCTCCTGAAGATCTTGTACAGGATGTTCTTCCAAGTATTGTCGTGGCCGAAACTCGACATGAGCTCCAAGTGCATCTCCCAAAGCCATACCAAACATGGATCCCTTCACACGATTTAATATGGCATGATCGATACTTCCAGGAGGATCTTGTAACCTCGTTTCCAGATCTTCAGGAGTCATGATCGATTGTTTGCTATCATCATGATATTGACAATTGAGCCAAGGTTTGTCTAGAAGAGAGGACTCATTCTTTTTGCTACCAAGTTCGCTCCCTAAAATGGGAAACACTTTTTCCATGTGAGCATTGTTGAATGTGTTTTCGTCCGTGGAATACATTCCTATTTGACTTGTTGGATATTCACTTACTGGCTGCCTTGACGACGTTTTGTCAGTGCCTAAAAGAAAAGTAGAAGACATTAATAACAGAATACTCAAAACTTCTTTCTGTCAGAGAATATTATGCTGAAAATGGATGATAAATACATATGGACACACTTTTTTCTTTAATAATGAATCAGGTTCCTTGATCTCAAGCATAATTTCCCTTTTCCATCATTGTTCAATGTTTCACGCTCTGCCCTCCACGACGTTTCCAGAAGAGCTACTGATAAAATAGCTTTAAAAATGGAATACTAACCTCCCTAATATGCCAATAGCGCGAGTCAATCCACCGAATATCCTGATTCTAGAGCAGGTTGGCATGCTTGCTCCAGCAATCATGTGATGAAAAAAGGGAATTGAACTACATAGTAAGCCTGAATTTCTTTTTCTTTGACTACAATATTGAGTGAGTAGAAGCACTATCTATTTCACGCCATTAGCTTAATGAAAAAAAACAAGGAGTGAACTGATAAAAGTTCAGTTGTGAGTGTGGGTATGGATATGGCAGATTAGAAGATTGACAATGCACAATATCTACATCCTCATCTAGCAAAAAACGAAAAAAAATCATCTAATGTGCTTCTCATCTTCTCCATACCTTTTCGACCTCAATAGAAGACTCAATATCATCTTTGGATGATTAGTAAAGTAACAGCATGTAGTCGGCATGCAATATACAATAAGAAGCGACAAATGTATCGTAATCACGCCAGCAAGGTCAACTATGTATATCAAAAACCTATTTTAAATGAAAATTTAACAACCTCCGTCATTTACGATTCAATCATAACCATTCTTGTGGAAATCAATGAAGGTTGTAAATTTCTATTCTTCATCGGGTTTCTCAGTTTAGGTGTAGACGTGCCTGTAGTTTATAAATGTAGCTGTGGATTCTAATGCTCTCTTCACCTACACTCACATCACACACTCACTCTAGGTGCTTAACATTTTTCAATGTTCTTTTAGCTTCAACATTTTTTCTTTCAATACTTTTCACTTTAGCCTTTCTACGACAAACCAAATTGTACAAATCTTTTCCTATTTTTCAAGAATAAATGACCCATTTATGTTCAAAAAATGGCTTAGCTCAGAAATCGAATCTTCGGAAATCAATTCTTTCTCGTTGATATCTTCTCTTATCAGGTACAATAAGGAAAAATGAGCCAGGTTGACTTTTTAATGCAACTTTTGAAACTCTGCCTTGTGCTTTCCCTCACACCTTTATCTCCACAATCTGCAATGTTTATTGCTTCTCTTATGTCGAATTGCGATGTCAAGAAAAAATTACTAAATCCCAAAGCAATCTTACTAGATAATTGTGTGGATATAATTTCGCCGTTTAATTGAACTGCATTCGCATTGAAACTATGGTCTCTTCGATATTTTTCATTCATGGACAATGAAAAATTGAGCGGCTGAGCCAACTGCTCATTTCGAGAATTTTCTTCTTGTAAATAAACTTTTTTCATTCCATTTACTAGATCTTCTTTCTTTATCACTCGTAAACGCGTATCAGGCATCAGTAGAACTTCATCCTCATCTGGATATTCAGAATAATTGCGAATCGCTTTTCCATTAATACATTGAATTTCGAATAGAGTGTACACACTGTTTTTAGGAAAGAATCTTTCAACTACTGATTTGGTTCCTGTGCACGAACTGAAACCTGACCAGATACAATCATTTTGGTAAGCAGTGGTAATGTCATCTCGAGCACAGCGCCAAATCGTGCCCTTCATCGATGGTAATTTGTTCAAAGCGGTAATAAGAAGCTGAAGGTAGGAGAGCCATCGGGTGAGCTCATTTGGGGCTCTGGAGCGAAGTGCTCTGTTCAGTTGAATAGGAACAGTTTGCTCTTCTTTGGAACGCAACATTGTATAAAGATGGATAGCAGCTGCCTCATCAACAGTCAGATCATAAGCAGGATGAGACGTCGTTCTTTTTGCTGTCAACACCATCATTTCACAGTTACATACTAATGACTCTAGCGTTTTGGTTGCTTCTTCAAGTGTCACCAACGGTTGTTTTCCGTAATCGTCAATAGGCGGTAATGCTTGTAGAGACTCTTGATCAACGTCCAAAAATCGCTCAGCTGCAGTCATCTTCCGGTTGAATTCGGTTCGTATATAAAATACAACTGATTTTTACTTCTGTTCTCTTCAAAATAACTTTCACGACGTTTGTTGCTAACAGTCTTGCTGAAGGAAAAAAATAAACGAGAGAGAGACCACGTGAGAAAAAGAAAATGAAAACAAATCCCGAAATTCTGAGCTTGCTACGTTGTACATCGGTATTCAATTAGTGAGAAAAGGTCGTGTATTTCTTTCCTATCTTTCACAGCTTTCTTAGCGTTGCATTCAACTTTGCCATTCATATCGATCTTTAAGCTCGAAATAAGAATCTCTAATTTTTTTCTTTTGGACATACAAAGAAATGACGATAGACCTCGGCAGAAGTGGCTTACCTTCTTTTTTTCACTTGATAAGAATAGTTTCTTTATAAAAGCTGCGAGAGTAAGAGGCAAATTTAATATTGACATAAGCAAGAAAAAAAACGAAAACAAAAGAAAACGTCGCAAACACGCAGCAGATAAGAAAAAAGTCAAATTTTTTATTTAACTTCATATTTACAGTCAACAAATTCCACTGAGGGTGGGTGTGGGTGTAGATGACCAAAATACTAACATTTACACTCATCCCGCACACACCTACAGTAATAATGAGAAGTTTGTTACTAGCGGTGCATGCAATTATGAATACCATCTAAATATTAAGAAATAGAGCAAGTTGAGGAAAAGGAAGAGATCTAAACATGGAATAGCAGAAAATAATAGGATGTTATTTATATACACCATGAGACATTCAACAAGAAAAAATTATCAACTTCTCTATCGACAATACCATCTTCTCCTTCTGTTATTATTTCGATTATGTTCTTAGATCGAGCCACACATGAATATAAACTGTGGACTATTGTATGTGCAGTTTTCAAATTTTAGAGCTTTTTCGTTTTCCAAGAATAATATCCATCATAAGATGCAACACATTTCGTTTTCTCTTATTACGCGCAATCTTTCGATGTAACCAACGTATATGAAAAATCTAAGGTGAAGTTCAGTTGGCTCCTACTTATGCATTCATGATGAAGAATTATTCTTTTTCACATGAGGGCCAAGTCAGAAAAAAACAAATGACTGCTTGAGTAATCCTGAATTTAAATACTTCAACCAAAAGAGAAGCAATACTTTCCTCAAAAGATAAAATTTTTTCGACATTCGGCTACAATTACTATGGTTGCTTTCTATTCATAACAATATCTGTGTAGCGTCGAATACAGTGTAGTCATGGGCTTTGTTGCCTTGTTTCTCTGTTTCTTACAACATTCGAATGTAAGAGCAAGAGAAAAAAAAAGTTAGTCATTTCATTTTGATGATGAAATTCATTTGACAAGTTTAAATATATGGCAACTGCCATCATAGAAAAACGATACGAGAAGTAAGTACAACAAATGAATGAAATAAAATAATGCATGGATGTATTAGTGTAATGATGTGTAAACGAATACAGATTACTGATGAGAGAAAAGAAACACTTTTGTCAGTTAAGACCAAATACAAACCAAAAAGCATGAAATTCGATATTCAGTCAGATACATCTAAACAAAGTATACAAAGCGAAGAAAACATAAAACAACATACTACATCATTATTCTGCACTCTGATAGAATGTTTGACTTTTTTATGTTGACTTTT